TCACATGTTAATAACTATTGGCGTTTTCTATCTAATGCATTCTATAGCAAGATTTCGAAGAAAAAAAAACAGAGTCATCATAATATTCAGGCTTCAGAAGATTTTGTTGAAATTATTTTTAACAAAGCCATTGTAAAGAGCATAAATATTTGAAGAAAATGTGATGATTTCTTACGTTTTTCAGAATTTTGTGCTGTTTAAAATGGCATTGTTGAAAAAAAGCTCTAACAAAGCCTTCTAAGGTTTGAAAACTACAGTTTTTATTGTTTTTTTCAGAAATTTTGTTATAGAATACATTAGATAGAAAACTATATAATAAGCTGAATGTGCATCATCATCATTTATGAATATTATTCATCATATGAAAGAAAAAGAACATTCATTAATATATTTTTATTTTTTTAATTAAATTATATCACGATAGTCTTGAAAAATTTATCAGAGATAATTAACATGACAATCGAAATATCTCAGATTTATACATCAAGTAAATATTGTTTTTCTTTTTTGTCGCTCTGAAGTGCAGAGACAATTGAACTTATGCAAACACAAACAAAGGTACGAGTACATTTTTTAAGTACAACTAAAATGCTTTTAATTGTTGTTTTTTTGTGTTTTGTCCTATCGCCACTTCATTTATGATCTATATGAATGCATAGTGCATTAAGCAGGTCTTATAACTATGGACATGTTTGTTGTTCGTATAGAAAGCCTATAGAGTATGTTTCAAAAGAGCACTAAAGTGATTTCGTGACATATTTTCAATAAATTTATTAGTAAAATGAATAGAAATACAAAGTTTTATTCAACGTGAAAGTTGCTCTTCTCCAGAAGAGAAAACATGAATAAGAGATTCATTTTTCTGTTAGAATTCAATTTGATGTAAAAAAAAAAAAAAAAGATTGCATGAAATATTTTTCGTAATTATTTTCATATTACTGAATTCATTTTTTTTTTAAATGATATAATACATTTTTCTAACAAGAAATTTATTTATTAATTTAAAAAAGAAAAAAGAATAATGAGTAATCAAAAACTTATTTAATAAAATGTTCATTCATTTTTCAATCTCGTATAAGAGTCTATAGAAATCGAAAAACATTCAATTATAATCAGAATTTTATATAATTCAACATTCGTATTTAGAAGTTATGAGTCAATCTTTTCAAGGCGGAATAATTAAGTTTAGACGGAGAAAATTGACAACATTTTTTTTTGCGCATAAATTAAAGGTAAGATTGTTCTCTAAAATGTGATATAAGAATTAAAAAACTGCAGAACAATTATTTCGAAATGGCTGAGCACTTTTTTTTGAAAATCCATGTTTCATAGAAATTAAGAAAATTGATACCAAATTTAATTTACAGACTTTTAAAAGACCATCATAAAACTGTTAAATCAGAGTTCTAATAACAATGTTGAATCTATATTAGGAAACAAAACATAATTCTGATTCAAACTCAATGTTTTCAAATTTCTATAGATCTTTTTTTACGAGATTAAAAACTCAACGAATATTTCTTTAAATTACTTTTCGATTATCAATTACATTTTTATTTTCAAGGCAAATCTTCATATACATGATAAGTCATAGATGAAGTATAAGAGTTTCGTTGAGATAGTGGAATATTGTATAAGGCAGGTATTGTATTACATGAAGTTGATGATGGAATTGTTAACAATTCCTTCTGTTTATTTTTTTTTCTCAAGAAAAAAAGTATTACTAAACCAATAATAAGAATACATAGAAAACCAGCAAGCGCACCAAGTATAACAGCACTAACATTGACAATATGCGTATCTTTTTGTAGTATAGTCGTAGTTTCAAATAATGTTACTTCTGTTGAATCTATTATTAATAAAGAAAATTGTTTTATTATTTCATTTCGTTGAATCAAAGAAAAAAGAATACCTAAACATGTTTCTCCACTATATCCATCAAGACATTGACATATTGTACCATTTTTTATGCATTTACCATTACCTATCGTTTCACATATTAAACAGAAATTTAAACTACCTGAAAGAAAATATTTCAATATGATTTAAGTATATAAATATAGAATCTTTGAATAACATAAATGATATTATAAATTATAGGTAGAATTGTTTTGTTTCAAGCATTGTGAGAATATGACAATTGCATATCTGAAATCCGTTTTTTTTTTTTTTGAAAAATTCGATTCCATTCGATGGACAGAAAATGATATTCTATAGCTTAAGGTCAATGATTGTCATTGGTGGTAATGATTTAAAATAGTATTATTCTAGTAATTACTTAACAAATGTAATAAATCTGCTTATTTTACTATTGATGATAAAATTCACATAAGTATAAACATATCATCAAAAAAATGTTTATTGCTTTAATCTACAACCTCTAGATGAATATATTAATTTTAAAAACTTTTGATAGTATAACTATTCTTAACAAACAAAAACGTGAACTATTTAATTTAATAAATATAGTACAAAAACAAAAAAAAATACAAACACAAACCTGGCATTATTAGAAAAATTCGATGAAAAAAGAACATCATACAACTTTTATTGATTTATTTACTTTCTTTTTTTCTTCTCGGTTTCGATTTTTGGAGCCTTTAATTAACAAGAAGACCGATAAGAACAATGAATTTTATCGTATAACAATAACAAAGAAAAAGATGAAAAAATAGAACGTAACGGGAAAATGTATTTTCTCTCATATGAATAATTATTATAATGTAGGAAATATTTTTTATTTTCTAAATTGAAAAATTCAATTCGAAATAAAGTTAGATGCACATCGGAGTCTGACTCAATATTCAGGACGAACAATTTAAAGTATTTTCTGAGGCAATTATGAAAATATTTTAATGTTTATGTAACTTTTTCATTTTAAAGATGTCTGCAAATCTTCGATATTTGAATAATCTATTCCAGTATATGGTGACTTGCCCTAGACAAATCTGCAGTTCTTTGCTTTTGACTTCTTTTATTTATTCATTAAAAAATGATCGTAAGCAAGATCAAACTCAAACATTTAATTTATGCTGTATGTTTAAATAAAATCGATACTATTTTTGTATTCATTTCTATGACATGTTATTTACATATGATCTATATATATATCGTACAATAACTCAATAGATGATTTTTTTTTTCTGAGTGAACAAATATTTGACTTTTTTTTTATTCTTGTGTTATTAAAAGAAAAATAACAATGCCAATGATCAAATTATCAATAGAAAAAAAAACAAAATTATTCGTTGATCATATGATTTTAATGTCATAAAGGTTAAATTCTTATTACAATATTGTTTTGAATAAATTTTTTTTTTATTTACTCAGCAATGAATAAATTGGACTGTCTGAGTGTTAAGTTACAATGCTGATTGAAAATTATAAATATGATTAATAATTCACGACTAAGCGAAATTCTATAAAATGGAGACATTATTTTATTTCATTAGGACTTTAACAAAAAAAATGTTCGTAATAATAACTTACGAAAGTTATTGAATTAATTATTTATTTTGTTTATTAGAAAAAAAAAAATTTATTGAGATGAAGTCTTGAAATGCATATAATAAACTCCACCGCGCATGAAAATACGTTAATCATAATCTTCTTTTTTTTTTGGTGAAAAAAAGAAGAGTGCCGTGACCCGGGATCGAACCAGGGACCTTCAGATCTTCAGTCTGACGCTCTCCCAACTGAGCTATCCCGGCGATATACAAATAACTTAAATTTACATCAGATAATAGAAAAGTTAAAATACAGCGATGTATGACTATCAACTGTCATGATTATTAATTAATATTTGATGACATTATTTTCTACATTCAATATTCACATATTTTATTATCTATCTGATTGACTCATAAAAAAAACAACTAAAATTTGAATGATTTTTATAGTGTTTAATAGAAGATTATTTTGGCGAAGAACTTTCTTGAAAATAACTTGTAGAATTGTAATGAATTAATTTTTTTTCAATAATTGATGTCGATTTTTATATAATATGATCGTGCACATAAGTAACTACAATCTATATTTATTCATTGAAAGACTAAAAGCAAAAAAAAACGAGACTCTTATCATTTGCTTCTTTTTTACAACTTATATTTATCAGTTTTATTTTATAACTAAGTCATTTTTTTCTTTTCAAATCAAGATACATTCTAATCTATTTATTGCAATAATAATTCAATCAAAATAATTTATAACATCTCATTAAAGTCATATAATCACAATGATTATAACATAGATAAATTACATCATCGTATCATTTATTAATAAATCTTATCTATTATTAAGTTCAAATAAAAATAATACATTCATATAATTATTATTATAAAAAAAAAAGTGTACCATTATTTTTCTAAGATTAAAATAAAGTATGTCACTTGATCAATATGCATTTTCATCTACAGATAATACTGACTATCACATTAAAACTAAGAGAAAAAATAGTAAATTACATATTTAGATACTACAAAATCTTCGATAGATAATCTCTTCGGATATACAATTAGTATATTCAAACTATGTCACATCGAATTGGCTTTAAGCAAAAACATAAATCTGTTCTTAAATTATAAAAATTATCAAATCAAAATTAAACTAGCGCCATCTTAAATAATTCAAATATTTACTATAGAAAAAAATAAATTCTGATTAAATTTCTAATGAAATATAATCTCAAAAAAAAAAGCAAAATATTTTTCATTAAATAAAAATTAAAATAATTGAAGTTTATTGCTTAGTTTCAACTAAGATAATGGAATTAAATTGACGAATCATTTCAATATTTTATCGAAACAAAGAACACCTTGAGAACAAAAGAATGAAAACGAAGACAAATAATTCTTTTTTTTTTTTTCTTTTCTTCTTCTATTTATTTTATTTCAGATCATAGAAATACATTTTGTAAATAGTTTCTCTTGAAATTTGAAATCTCTTTTTTTTTCTTTTGTCTTTGTTTCATCGTCTTTTTTTTTTGCTCTTCTCTATGAAATATGTTACCAATGTCATCTTCAAATCATCATACACATATGGAAACAAGTTGGAAAACATATTATGATGCAAAAAAAATTCTTCGTCAAACTGAACAACGTTTAAAAGAAACACGTGATTATTATCCACATGTTCATTTAAATAATCATTATGATAATAATAATGATTTATCAACATTATCATCATCATCATCATCATATTTATTACATGGTGATACATCATTAATTCATGCTGGTAATAGATCAATATTAAATGATGATCGTACAATTAATACTAAACATCAACAATTACTTGATTCAGAAGCATTACAAACAATTCGTAGAAAAATTAGTAAACAAAAATTAGCAGCAGGTAATTAATAGAAAAAGAAAACACTTATTATTATATTGATACATATATATTGTTAAAAGAGATTTTGTTTTTTTTTCATATGTTATTGAAATCTGATTATATTTACTTTTTTGAGATATATGGTGTTCAAGGTTAAACGACAAATAAATGTTTTATTTGATCATCAAATGATATTAAAACTATTCAATCTAGAACTAGATTCAATAAAATTATAGGAAAGATTATATAGATTTGTTTTTAATAATTGAACGTTTTTACGTTAGTTTCTGACAATTTTCTTAAGTTTACAAAAATTTTGATTGTAGGATTCTAAACTACAGGGTGTAATATAACCATTACGCCTCCCCTCTAGAACTTAAAGTATAAATGATATCAAAGAGTTTTATATACCAGATTAAAGCTCGTCAAAAACTGGATTTATGAGTATAATTGATAGATCTTAGAACAATTATTGCCTATGAAATGCCTGAAATGCGCTCGTATTTTACGATTTTCATCAAAAATAATAGCAGATTTGTAATCTCCATAAAAAAATGCATCTATAGATATGTCATTTGTATTTTTTCGATGAAAAAAAAATTTTTTCAAAAATCCTGAGGAATGCGCATTTTATGCCTAAAATACACATCACGCAAAGTTTTTGAAAAATTTTTTTTTGCGTCAAAAAGATTCAAATGACATGTCTATAGATGCAGTTTTTTATGAAGATTACGAATCTACTATTATTTTTGATGAAAATCGTAAAATACGAGCGCATTTCAGTAATCTCATAGGCAATAATTGTTCTAAGATCTATCATAAATCCTGTTTTTGACGAGCATTCATCTGATATATAAAACTCTTTGATATCATTTATACTTTAAGTTCTAGAGAGGGGGGGGGGGCGTAATGGTTATATTACACCTTGTCTATTGCCTAAAACAAAAATTTGAAATTTTATTAATGAATTATTCATATTATATTAAAATTAAAGAAAAGATGATTTAGTTGAATATAATTTTTACCATATAAAATTATGATTCATATGAAGAGCTTGAATTTCATTGATAATATGATATAATGTACTCTTATGTAAATATACTTTCAAGTATTGACTAATGTTTGAGTTCGAATTTCAACAACAGTAAAATTTCGATTATAAGAAATTCTGAAAAATTAATATCATGTTTAATTCAACAAAGTTTGTTGTTATTCATTCGAAATATTATTCAAAGATAATAATTAACTCAAAAAACAAAAAACATATTATCTAATTCTTTTGTTTTTTAGAACGTCGTGCTGAAAATATATTTCATTCTCAATCAGATGCTGGTCATATGTTTGAATCATATCAACCTCATAGTACATATTCAACTTCTGCTAGTTTACAAAATCTTCATTATTCTCCATATCGTCAACAACGTATTTCACCTCCAAAATTTCAACCATCATATACAACACATCTTTCTCAATCTCAATCATTTCCATCAGAACTTGATAATGTTCTTCGAACTTCGACAAATTCAAAAATTTTACATAAAAATAATGATTTTGAACGACAAACAATTCAACAATCAAATATACATAAAATACCTAAACATATATCGAGTAATTTTATATATATGAATAATTAATATTTAATTATTTTTGAATTCGATTATTTTCTAGAAGATAATTATTCATTAACGAATGGTCGATTAATTCAACAACGTAGTACAAGTGCATCGAATAGTCTTACAACTAGATGTTAGTTTTAAAATTAAAAATTTATTATTAATTTTTCTTTTTTGGATTAGATCAAGATCTTCCTTCATCTCATTATTTAAATTCAAATGATAGTCAACGATTAAAACATGTTGTTCGTCATGTTGAATCTTCTGCTCATACTTCATCAGGTTTAAGTGCTAAAACAAGTAAGATTTATTTTTATTTTTATTTTTTTTTCTAATATAAGAAAATTTTTAGATTTAATAACATCAGAACCAATTGTTGCTAAAAAATCATCATCAATATCTCAACAAGAAAAATTATTAAAAAAAAAACCAATAACAGAAATAATTAATAAACGAATAAAAACAGATATTGAAGAATCATTAAATTATACAAATCAACGAACAGAAAAAATATTTAAATCAAAACGTGATACTAGTTCGTAATTATTTAAATAATTTTATCTCGAATTCTATATTAGAAAGTTTATTTCTATAGGAAAGTCTTATTCCTTTTTGTCTTACAGTGAGGGCTCAAAAAAAGCATGTACATTTTTGTTTTTACGCATAAACGAATAATAAGGATACTCTGAAGATTTTCGCTTCTATCAGACTTTGTAGAGCTTTTTTTGCTGATCATTTTGGTAAAAAAAATATTTTTAATTTTTATTGAGTAATGACGATGTTATGGTCAAAATACTAAATACTGTCATATAAAGTATAGAAAAAAGTTTAGCACACTTTTAGTATTTGGCTAATTTTTACGTTATTTCACAACATCGGAAAGATGTCCTATATATATCATTCGACGCAGAATTTAATGGGCTACATTTTGGTAACAAGCACTTATACTTATACTGCAGTTAATTAATTAATTAATAGTTAATTAATAAAGTAATAGTTAACTAATAATTAATAATAATTAGCGATTAATTAATAAAATTTTGATTTTTTTTTTTCTTTTTAAATTCCAACTCTTTCATATGAAAGAGCATAAAAAACTGAACAAAACTCTATAATTACTATTTGAAAAGCAACGAATTTAGTGAGGTTTTAGTGTGATTTTCAGAGTATGTTCAGTTGTAATTAGATATAGTATACATTACAGTGTTTAGTATTTTGACTATAACATCGTGATTACTCAATGAAAATCAAAAACATTTTTTTACCAAAATGATCAGTGAAAAAAGCTCTACAAAGTCCGATATGAGAGAAAATTTTCAGAGTATACTTATTATTCGTTTATGCGTAAAAACAAAAATATACACGCTTTTTGGAGCCCACACTGTATCAAAATCTTCTTGAATCGTTTATTAACTGATTAAAGATAAAAATCATGAATAATATCTATAAAAAGAAGTCTATTATGTTTTTTTTTAGGTGCGTCGAAACCATCTAGTATTATTACAGAAAAAACCCCATTAAAACCACCATTACCGAAACGTATATATTTGATTGAATTATGTTTGTAAAAGTTTGATGCCTTTCTTTTTGTTTGTTTGTTCTATAGCAAAATCTGATGATGAAAATAAAAAATTTGAAGACTTAATTCAAAAAAAACGTCAACAACATGATGAAATTTTATCAAATGAAAAATATTTAAAAGATGAACAAGATAAAATACGACGAGATAAATATAAAAAATTCAATGAACCAATTAAAGAAAATTCTCATCAATCATTAACAAAAAGAACAACATCAGCATTTACACCTGTTCGTTATTGTTTTTTGTTTTTTCTTAATTTATTGTCATAATTTTTAAAACTTTCATAGATAACACCAAAAGATTTAACAGAACAAACACGTCAACGTTTAGTTCATTTGCTTGGACCATCTTCAGATTATCTTACAAATAAATCATTGGAATCACCATCTTCACTTGAACATTCATTATCATCATCGATTTCTTCATCTAATGATTCCGTAGTTGAAGTTCAACAAATAAAATCGTATGTTCTTATATTTTTCGAATAGAGAAAAGTAAAAATTTATATTATAGAAATGATCCTATAACAGTACGATCACGTTCAGAACCACCTATACAAAATGGTTATATTTTTTTTCTTCAGAATAAAGATATTATTAATTTAATAAATTTTGTTTTGTTTTTTTTTCATATAGGTGGTACTAATAACAATGTACATCGTCAGGAAAATTTACTTCGATGGGCTGGTAATTTAACAAGAGATTGTGATATTGTAGAAAATAGATTTAAATATTTACGATCAAGTACGTATAAAGAAAATCTATTCTCTAATTAGATACTATAGGTCTTTGGTGTCAAGCTTAGATTAAGAAATGCAACATATTTGTTTTTTATCTATCAAGTCCTCTAATAACTAACAAAGGAAGTAATCGCTTCTGACTATAAACATACTGCATTTACAATAGTTAAAAGTAGCCATAGCAACAGAAAGAATGATATTTCGAATAGTTCGTTTCTATCCTGAAATTCTAGTATAAAATCTACTTATTTATATGAGTAATGTAACGAGATATAGTTAGACTAGTGATCAGATCTAAAACATTTGCGAAGACCTATCTCTATGCCAAATTTCAAGTTGATATTCGAAAATAATATCTTCATAGCAATAAGCGAATGGCATGAATTCGTTTTTAGAATATTTATAGGTCATTTGAACCTACACAAAAGCAAATAGTTTTAAACTAAAAGCAATTGTATAAAATGAAGAAATTCTATTATAATATTAACAGTCCGGGTATGAAAATTTCAGACGCGATGAATAAAACCATATTAGTAATTGAAACTATTATATAAAAATAAATATTCAAATACGTAAAATATAAAAAAAAAAAAAACGTAATAGTAACATGTATTACGCATGTATAAAATGAGTCATCACTTTTATTGGTTTCATAGTTTTTCGTTTTATATATAATAGAACTAATTATAGTACATATTAATCTTTATATAATAATAGCCGTAATACATAAACAATGAAAAATGTTTTCTAGAATATTTGTTTAAAATCATTTTCTATACTGTTTTGGTATATATATCAAAATATCAAATTAATATAATATCAGTAAAAGTTTCTTTATACTATCTTAGAAACTTGTTAAAATCATCTAACTTGACAAGAATATATAAACAAAAAATGAAATCATTATATGAATTATAAATAGACTCTACATAATGAAAAAGTCTCGCCTTAAGATTATTTGAAAAGATTCTCTCGAGAAAAAAATAAGAATTGCAAACAAATTCAATTTACTTAATATATATATAGATATATTAATCAAATTGATTATTAGTTGAAATATAGAATAATTTCAATTAATTTTAAAAATTTATAAATATATTATTTAGATAGTACACAACCATATGATACTATTTCATCATTATATCAACATGATGATGGAAATTTACGTTATCAAACATTAAATTCTGAAACAATAACACATTTAAATCAATCATTATCAAATATAAATGATCATCGAGATTTATTATTAGAACGACGTATATATCGTGATCGTGCTGCAGCTAAAATTCAAGCAGCATATCGTGGTTATACTGTACGAAAATCTTTATCATGGTTAAATGATAAACAAAAATATTTACATGATAAATTTAATAAACGAGTAAATTTTATTTTTCTAAAAAAAAAATTACATTAAAAAACTCGATTTTTTTTAATATTTAGCCAATTCATCGAGATACAACATCAATTAATATTGATATACGTTTAACAAACGATAATTTTCCTATTGATTCAACACATCGACGTTATGAAAGTATGATGAAAATTTGTTGTTTTTTTTCGGTTCATATATCCCAAAGATAGAATCTATCACGATTTTTCATCACCAATAACAAGTAGTCTATCGACAGTAGAGCCCGTCGGGTCGAAACTTTTTGGACCCGGATCCCGACTCGGACCCGGTGAAACCCAACTTTGATATTATCAAAAAAATTTTCTAAATCCCTTCTTAAGATAGAAGAACCGTAGTCTTCTATTATATCCAAGCATACAAAGTTTCTAGGATGATCTTCGATTGTATGTCATTTATTTTTATAATTTTTAATTAAAAACACTTTTCAGAAAGCAAAAAGAGTTTAAGGATTTGACAATAAATTTTCATGGTTTTACAAGTTCAGAAATAACATTGATCTTAGTCTATTAAGATTTTCAGCTCAAAGCCCTGACAACTAGGCACATATTTTTGACATATAGACACTAATTAAATGTCTAACTTTTCTAAAAATAAGTTAATTTAGGACGCCTTCAGTATGACTACAAGCATTGTTCCTTCAATGAGGGTTTTCCGATATAGGGGCTCTTCTATTGAGGGGTGAGATTTATTTGCTGTTGGATAATCACTCCGAGGATGTCGAATATTTTTGTCCGTCTTTTTGCATTCGGTGACTAGCGAAAGCTATGCATTTCTCATACCATTCGGGTCCAAACTTTTTTCGAACTCGGACCTGAGCGGGTCCGGGTTCGGGACCAACCCGACGGGCTCTAATCGACCTCTATTAAAATACAGTACATAAATAATGATTTCATTTTTATTACATTGATTAATTTTCATATGATTTAGATGCATCAATCAATAATTATCAACAACAATCTATACGAAAAATAACAACATTACCATTATATTCTGATGATTATGATAATATTCCAAATGGATCAATATCAAATTTATCAACACCAATTAATCATAAACAAATACCAATAATAACTGCAAATTATTTATTAGATTTACCAAATACAAATTCTTCAATATTAACAACATCTATACCTTCACCTGAATCTCATGTACCATTAGATAATGAACGTCGTCGATCTATATCACCACCTTTACCACCACAAATGTCTCCTGATAATGGTCGTCCACTTCCACATTTAACACAAAATTTAATTGATGAACATATTGATATAACAAAACGATTAAAAACAAATTTACGTTCACAAGTAATCAATTATTTTTTTTTTTTATTTTTTTTTCTATTCTATTTATTTATTCATATAGAATTCTCCAGTTAATACATTATCTCAACAACAATCAATACGAAAGTAAAATATTTATTTATTTTTTGTTAAATTATCTATTTTGTTAATATATTAAAGATCTCCTATTCAACAATTATCATCATCTTCATCATCATCATCATCATCATCAACAATTAAGAATCCAAAACGTCGATCACCATCTCCACCACCATTACAACAACAAACAATAATAAATACACATTCACGTCATCGTACTCCACATAATTCAAGTCCTCCAACATCTTCATCTGAATCGTAAGAATTATTTATTATTTGTTTCACTTAACATATTATTCTACTAATGTAATATTTAAATTATTTTTTTCATGCGTCATTTACTAAGATATGTAAAAACTAAAAATGTCATATACTATATTAGTTGTTAATTTGATGCATATGAGTGAATATGCTATCTTATTATACTATCGAAAGTCAATAGCCTAAGAAAAAATTAGATACGTAAAAAAACATGATTTGTTCAAAGTATCTATAACTGTCGAATATTGTGAGGGTAGAATTAATAGATCCATTCATTATTCGTAAGCTCTAGATCATTCTTTTTAAAGATTTAGAAAATTTGCTCTATTGAAGGAAAAAAAAAAAGTCAGATCAGTAACTAAGAAACAGCTTTCATTTTGAAAAAAAAAATATTTGAAGCTTTATGAACATCAAAGAAACATATTGTTTTGATCAATTCATAGCTATTCGTATTCTACACACTGAAATATCATAGTACAATAGTTATGCAATTTTTTTGATAATCTGTTATTCTGATACTTTTCTTTTTATTGAAATATAATTATGTTTTAAAAGTATACAATTAATCAATAGAACGTAAATATCGTGGTAAATTAAGATTCGTATGAAGATTCAATTTTGATCTTTTTATGTCTCTATGATTGTTGATCGTTTGTTGAAATGTATTATCATCATTGGCAAGTGACAATAACAATGGATATAAATTTGTTCCTTGTCGTTCATTATGATTACTATTGTCATAAGCATTGTTTGATAAACCATTTGAATCAATCATAGCCAATAATTCTTCATCATATAAACTTGGACGATGAATTGAACCAGTATGAACTAACAGACATAATGACATGTTAAGAGCGATGAGCAATATAAGATTATAACGATTTAAACTAGCCATTGTCAATAATTGTTCTTTTTCAATAATTGTATGTGTAGATTTCTTCAAATGAGTTCTTTATTATATATACACTTGGTTTTAAACAGACCCTTCGCGAGAGAGAGAGAGAAAGAGAAAGAGAGTAATTGTAGGTGTTAGAAAAAAAAATCTCCCTAGAGAGAAAAAACTAGTTACTGAATATTAGAAAAAAAAAATAAAAAGAGACAGAGAAACATTTTTTTTTTCCTCGAAAATCACCACAGAGTGTAATAAAAATAAAATACAGATAAATGATTGAACGATGTAATATTAATAGAATTAATATAAACTAAGTTTCATTTTTTCGTATCTCTATTTTAGAATTTTAACAGCACGTGAAAAACGTGTAAGACAAAAATTTAATAGTGATATTGAATTACAAGCATATGAAAAACGTCTCAAAGATATTGAAAAAAAAATTCGTCAACTTGTCAAACGTGGTATGTGTATTTGGACGTAATAACTCATTACTTTTTAATAATCATATAGAATGTTTCTCTTCATTTTGAAAAAAAAAAGAAAAAGAAACATGATATTCTATCTAGAGATGCATTATTCAGTTAAACTTCTATTGTATTCATTAAGATATTTTAAACTATTGAAAAATATTATTTTCCAGTGATAAAAGAGCATTCTTGAACGTTTGTTTTTTTGTCCTACTTAACTTCCTAATGCCAAATAAAAATTGATAATGTTCAAAATAACATTCTTATTTAAGATAATCTTATTTTCCTAATTTCTCAAAATAATCTTAATATATTGAAATATCTCATTTAGAAAAATGTAATTCACATTTCTGTTTTAAGTATCTACTAGATGAAAAAAAAAACTTTCATTGATTAAAGCTGGTTTGTATAAACTATCATTTTAATCATAGAATAAAGTATATGATTCAATAGAGTGAACAGTTCGAAAATCACATTCTTCACCTAGAATTCATTAAAGACTTTTTGTAGAATTTCACTTATGATCTCAGAACAGTATAAATATAGCATACACATCCATAAGTAAAAGTCTTTTCCACTTCATCTCCCCCCTCACTAATCTTTTCATATCAAATCCTATTAGTTTCAAGTAAATATTGCTTATAAAAATATCTTAAATACTCTATTTTAATGTAGTGCATGATTACTGATAATGATAAAGAATGTATGTCACTTCATACAAATACATTCTGAATGTTTTCTTACATTATCTATGTTTGTATAATTACCTATGGCATGTATTTTCGAAAGAAGTTTCAAATTCATAACGAAAAGAATTTAATAATCCAAAACTAGTAAAATAGAAAAAACAATCATATACTACAATAGAAATACTTAAGGCTATTCTTATAACAAACATTTATTTGAGACCTATAGATTTCTATTTCAAAGAAAAAAAATGTAAGAAGTTTTTTTTATTGAATGAAAGACTTTGAAATATCAACTTATTCACCTTAAATAATATTTTTATTACACAATCATAACTTACTTTTTGCTATTATTAAATGTGTTCAGGCTTCCCGATTGGGGGGGGGGGTGCCTAGCCCCTCCCAAAACTTGAAAAATACCCAACTTTCTGCGGAAAATTTCATAGTAATATCTGGCAGAAAGTCGATCAAATTAGTATCCGTTCTTCAGTTTCTGCCGAAAAGTCAGGTGAGGCACTTTCTGCCAAATTGTTAGCCCCTTCCACTTTTCAAAACAATCGGAAACCTTGAATGTGTTAATGATATCATTATTATGTCAATTATACGTGCTTATTCGACATTATCATGCTGTTTTCCTGTTTCGATGCGGATGTTCGTGTAGATTTAGATATTAAAAAATAAACACGTTCACTCACATCTATTCACCACTATATATCATATTTTTGCAATTAAAATTGAATTTATTTAATTATTTTCATATGAATAATTATACATTCTAAAAAACTTTTTTAATTATTTAGCATTTGAAATTTTTGATGAAAAACGAAGTATTTCAAGTCCACCAACAGTTACACGTACAACTAAAACTGATTTATTATTACATAATCGTTCAAAATCAACAAATTATTTTCAAGATGAATCAAGTATTAGTGATGAAACATCTATTCATCGAAAAGATACAGAATTGTAAGTCGTTTTTTTGAATTTTTTTATTAAATTTTCTTCGATTTTAGAACTAAAAAAGATACTAATACATCATCAAATTCAACTCAACAAAGACAATCAGGTAAAAATCTATATCAAAAGAACAAAAATTAAATCTATTTTATTTTTATCGTTTTTTTTTTTTTAAAAGATGTTGTTACATCTGATGCAAGTGATCTTGAACGACGTGTACGTGCTTATCGTGAACAATTAAAAGCAAAAAAATTTGAACTTGAAAAATTAAAACAACGTAAAAATAAAGAAATTTTACGACGACAAGAAGATGAATTAAAAAAACAAATTGAAGTAAACATTTTTTTCTATTATTTATTATTTTCAATTAATTACATATTTGTTTTTTTTTTTTTTAGTCATGTGATTATGAAATTCAAACATTACGTTTACAACCAATTCAACAAGAACAAACAGTACCTATTCCATCACCATATATTCATAGTAATACTAGTAGTCCTTCAACAGAAAGAAAAAAATCAAATTTATCAAAATCTGTACGACAAAAAAAAAAAAATCTTCTTGAGTTAGAAATTTTTTTTTTTTATGAATTTTCTAGGATAAACAAATTCTTTCACCAAAACAAAATATATTTGAAGAACGACCATTAGAAACACCACGTGATGAACGTGATACACAAGATGATGCTTTATCAATATCAGTTACAACTGATTTACCAAATGAATTTGAAATTGATCATGATAGTCAACATATAAATATTAATAATGATAAGTACGTATTATTTAATCTTCTAAAAAATAAAATTTACGTCATTCATTTCATTTAATATATTAACAGACAGTAGACGCGTAGATCTTAAATTAATTTTTTATAAATGACTATATACATTAGTAGAATTATTTTCTTTCTATGAACTTAATTGTACGTATTTCATATCATAAAATGATGTATCTCAAAGTCAAATAAATATGCGCTCTTAAAATTAACAAGTATCCAATTTCATTCAAAAAAAACATAGTGCTTAGAATAGAAAGATTAAATAATAAACATATGTTTTAGAACATTATCTTGTATGATCTATGTTGATTGAACATTGGTAACTAAGAATACGATGCTACTTTGAAGATCGGATTGAGTTTTTAGTTATGACATCATCAAGTTGAATTTGATGCATATTTATAATCTATGTATTTTTACTTTCAAAAATAGATTTCCGCTTGCTTTCACTCTCTCTTTCGGAAATTTAAATCATTGTTCTGAAAGAAAAAAACAAAATTTAAGTTAAAACAATTGACATAATTAAATGATATACTTTTTGAATATTCAAATCATTTTATACCTAAGAATTCAAAATTAAAATAATATAATTTATACTTTTTAGACAAATAACTGATGTAAATATTCATTCTTCAATATTATCTAAAGAAAAAGAAGATTCTATATCATCATCTTCAATAACATCTGAAAAACATACTATATCATTATCACCACGAATATCTCGATCACCTTCACCACCACCACCACCATTAGCACAAGAACCTATTAAATCACCTTTACCATCAGTACATGAATATATTAAATCATCATCATCACTTGTAGAAGAACGTCTTAAAACATTATCACAAGAACAAATATTTGTACCTATAAATGAATTAAAACAATCTGAACATTCATCAATAAATAGTGAATATGGTGAAGATTTTTCTGAAGTTAGTCATTCACCAATACATACTTCAGTAAAAATTCAAACAAATGATATTGAATCAATAGAAGATGATATTCATAATAAATCTTTAAAACATGATTCAAATAAAAGTTCATCATCAAAAACAAGTGATGATGAACAATCTGAAATACTTGTACTTAATATAAAATCTACAAATAATATATTAGAACAACAAGATAATAAAGATAAATTATCAACATTACCATCACAAACATTATTAATTTCAAAAAAAATTGAATCTGATAATACAACACATGATATTAATGAAAATGA